GCTCTAGCATGGAGTCCACATCTAGTCAAATATAAAACGAAGTTAGAAAAGGTTCAGAGGTCACCAGGCTAGACCCCGAGCTGAGATGAATGAGCTACGAGGAAAGATTATTGGAACTAAACCTCACGACTAGAAGATAGAAAAGTTACGGGAGACATGATCACTACTTAGAAAATTCTCAGATGAATTGACAGGGTAGATAAAGGCAAACTGTTTAGCACGGGTGGAACACGAATAAGTACACAGGTGGAGACTGAGTACCCAAATGAGCCACAGGGTCGTAAGAAAGAACTTTTTCAGTGTCGGAGTAGTTAACAGATGGGATGCATTAGGCAGTGATGTGGTGGAGGCTGACTCCATACACAGTTTCAAATGTAGATATGATAGAGCCCAGTAGGCTCAGGAACCTGTACACCAGTTGATTGACAGTTGAGAGGCGGGACCAAAGAGCCAGAGCTCAACCCCCCCTCAAGCACAACTAGGTGAGTAAAACTAGGTGAGAACACACACACACTATACCCCATAAAAGGCAGTGTAAAACTTATGTATATATGATTTATATTGTATTTTCTTAAATAAAGATAAAAAAAAAGGTACAAAAGTTGGAGCAACAGGCTGGAGTAAAAGGTAAGGTGCTCCAATGGATAAGGGAGTATCTAAGCAACATGAAACAGCGAGTAACTGTGAGGGGGAGAGGGGAGGGGGGGGACGCATCAGAGTGGCGAGATGTCACCAGCGGAGTTTCTAATATATCTAAACGATCTTCTAGAGGGCATAGCCTCATTCCTCTCAATGGTTGCTGATGGTGCTAAAATGATGAGACGAGTCAAGACAGATGAAGATAGACAGAGACTACAGGACGACCTGGACAAACTGCTGAAATGGTCTAGAAAATGGCTACTAAAGTTCAACACAGGCAAGTGTAAAGTGGTGAAATTAGGCAAATGAGCAGGAGGCCGAACACAAGGTACCATCTGGGAGGTGAAGTCCTGCTTGAGTCAAATAGAGAGAAAGATCTGGGGGTTGATATCACACCGAACCTGTCCCCAGAGGCCCACATCAAAAGGATATGATCAGCGGCATATGTTAGACTGGCCAACGTAAGAACTGCCTTTAGAAACTTGTGTAAGGAATCGTTCAGGACCCTGTATACCACCAATATCAGACCAATCCTGGAATATGCAGCTCCAGTCCGGAGTCCATACCTAGTTAAACAAAAGATAAAGTTAGAGAAGATTCAGAGGTATTCCACCAGATTAGTGCCGGAACTGAGAGGTATGAGCTACGAGGAAAAGCTAAGGCAGCTAAACCTCACGTCCTTGGAAAACAGAAGAGTAAGGGGAGACATGATAACCACCTACAAAATTTTCAGAGAAATTGATCGAGTGGACAAAGACAAACTCTTTAGCATGAACTTGTTCGTGGAACATGAACAAGGGGACACAGGTGGAAGTATCCAAATGAGCCACAGGGACGTTAGAAAGAACTTTATCAGTGTCAGAGTAGTTAACAGGTAGAATGCATTAGGCAGTGATGTGGTGGAGGCTGACTCCATACACAGTTTCAAATGTAGATATGATAGAGTCTAATAGGCTCAGGAATCTGTACACCAGTTGATTGACGGTTGAGAGGCGGGACCAAAGAGCCAGAGCTCAACCCCCGCAAGCACAACTAGGTGAATACACACAACATATTGGACATACGACCACTTTTGTCAAGACTTACCTTGTTCCCTGACCTTTTGTAGGCAGCACTATGTCTACTGCCATTACGCCCCCTCACACCCTCCCTACCCGCTCTCACACCCTCCCTACCCGCTCTCACACCCTCCCTACCCGCTCTCACACACTTTTTATTGATTTATTTACTGAGATATATACAAGAGTTCTAACATTCTTGTACAGCCACAAGTACGCGTAGCGTTGCGGGCAAGTCCTTAGTCCTGTGGTCCCTGGAATACGAGACCTTCGCGATGAAGCGTTTTTACAACCAAGTGACCATTTTACTGTTGAGTTTAACAGAGGCTACAGTTAAGGATTGGCGCCCAGTAACTCCCGTCTCCCCCCCCCCCGGCCAGGATACGAACCCAGGACCTGCTATGTCTGCTACTCACCGTTATGTCTGCCACACGCTTCAGTGTCTGCCACACGCTACAATGTCTGCCAGTCACCGCTATGTCTGCCGTCCTTGACCTAGCCAACGGGCGCCTGGGGAACCACTAGACCGGCTTAGGTCAACAGCCGGCCAAGTCTGCCCCTCCCACCTGCACCTGGGTGACACCCTCCCACCTGCACCTGGGTGACACCCCTCCCACCTGCACCTGGGTGACACCCTCCCACCTGCACCTGGGTGACACCCTCCCACCTGCACCTGGGTGACACCCTCCCACCTGCACCTGGGTGACACCCTCCCACCTACACCTACACCCTCCCACCTACACCTACACCCTCCCACCTGCACCTGGGTGACACCCCTCCCACCTGCACCTGGGTGACACCCTCCCACCTGCACCTGGGTGACACCCTCCCACCTGCACCTGGGTGACACCCCTCCCACCTGCACCTGGGTGACACCCTCCCACCCTCTAAACTGATTATGAAAACAGTATTATAAGAACATCAGAATAAAGGAAACTGCAGGAGGCGTATTGCCCGATACGATGGAGTTTGTTATTGATGTTTCCCAAACATGTACACAGACACATATCTAAGCTTTAGGCACTCGAAGGAACCAACCAATTGTAAAGCTTTTATAACAAATGAGAGTTAATGAAGGACCTTCTAGGTCTCTTCTTGTTAAGAATAAGGGGAAGATCCTGGTCATATGCAGTGGCCTACCAAGGGTGAGAGATGGTAGACAGGAGATCTCACCTCTCTGCCATCACAGCAGAGAGGGGATCTCACCTCTCTGCCATCACAGCAGAGAGGGGATCTCACCTCTGCCATCACAGCAGAGAGGTGATCTCGCCTCTCTGCCATCACAGCAGAGAGGTGATCTCACCTCTCTGCCAGACCCTAGGGGCCTCGTAGCCTGGTGGATAGCGCGCAGGACTCGTAATTCTGTGGCGCGGGTTCGATTCCCGCACGAGGCAGAAACAAATGGGCAAAAGTTTCTTTCACCCTGAATGCCCCTGTTACCTAGCAGTAAATAGGTACCTGGGTGTTAGTCAGCTGTCACGGGCTGCTTCCTGGGGGTGGAGGCCTGGTCAAGGACCGGGCCGCGGGGACACTAAAAAGCCCCGAAATCAACTCAAGATAACCTCAAGATAACCTATCACAGCAGAGAGGGGATCTCACCTCTCTGCCGTCACAGCAGAGAGGGGATCTCGCCTCTCTGCCATCACAGCAGAGAGGGGATCTCACCTCTCTGCCATCACAGCAGAGAGGGGATCTCACCTTGGGCAGGTACAGAGGCAGCAATACCACGTACGCGACGAAGGGAGTCCATGTCTCTCCGGAAGGCGCGTCAGGTTATCTTGAGGTTTATCTCGAGATGATTTCGGGGCTTTAGTGTCCCCGCGGCCCGGTCCTCGACCAGGCCTCCACCCCCAGGAAGCAGCCCGTGACAGCTGACTAACTCCCAGGTACCTATTTACTGCTAAATAACAGGGGCATTCAGGGTGAAAGAAACTTTGCCCATTTGTTTCTGCCTCGTGCGGGAATCGAACCCGCGCCACAGAATTACGAGTCCTGCGCGCTATCCACCAATCTACGAGGCCCCGAGGTGGCAGAGGAAACAGGGCAGTGGACTTTACACACCGACATGGGCAAGATTGGGGAAGGCGGATGGCTCCAGAAAAGGGGAACCATAGATTCTTAATAAGAACAAAAACAGGAGAATCGAAAGAAATGTTGTGATGTGAATGACTGATGGTTAAAAGTATTGTACTGTTTACAAGTATTTAAGGAGGACGCAAGAGTCAGCATAACAGTATCCTTAAGGTAAGCCACGCAAGCAGCATGCAATATTAAACACAAAATGTTGAGTACAAATTGTCTCACATTGAATGACAGGTTAGACAACGAGGGGGGGGGGGAGGAAGCGGCAATATACGTCAAGAGAAAATTTTGAAATGTTGTTTCAAAACGGGAATCAAACTTGAACAACACGAGTTGAGATCTTTACTGCAATTTGTATTACAACAATCTAAATGAGCTTTTGTTTTACACCTGTCATTTCCGTGCTACTTACAGCCCCCCCCCCCCACTGGGAGTGGGGGACAGGCGACACTTACCTTGAGCTCCTCCTTGGACAGTTTCCAGAATTCTCAGCATTCCTGTCTATTGGTGTAGGTTGTAACGAGAGGTGGCCGCAGTACTAGCTGTGAGGAGTGGTTGTGAGGTGGTATTAGTTTGTGAGGAGGGGAGGGGCTGAGGGGCAGGTAAGGGCTGTGAGGCAGGTAAGGGCTGGGAGGTAGGTAAGGGCTGGGAGGTAGGTAAGGGCTGGGAGGCAAGTAAGGGCTGGGAGGCAGGTAAGGGCTGGGAGGTAGGTAAGGGCTGGGAGACTGGTAAGGGCTTGGAGGTATGTAAGGGCTGGGAGGCAGGGTATAAGGGCTGGGAGGCAGGGTATAAGGGCTGGGAGGCAGGGTATAAGGGCTGGGAGGCAGGGTATAAGGGCTGACAGACAACCTCAGTTTCAGTGTTTACACTTCTATTCATATGGCCTCAGTTATCTACTATTTTGTCGCCACATATTTGCAGCTCCTACGCAGTCTTGTGACGATCGTGTCCGCGTCACTCATCTTCGTCATCAACTCATGCCACTGGTTCACAACCCTTAAGTGAAGTGGTTCTGGTGTGTTATGGCAGATGCGTCTCTAATTTTCATCTATGCTCACTTTTTCCGCACTTGAAACATTCCATATTTGTCGATTTGTTTAATTCTTTTTACAATCTTGTGTGTCGTTATCATAGCTTTGGATATTTTATCTTTTATATGTCTGCTTAAACACACTATAGTTAGGGCAATTCGTTAATGCAATGTGTTTGTTTTATTTGCAGGTGAGGATGCCAGGTTCTGCGGCACCGAAGGAGGGCAGCAGGCGGGCAGGAAGCCGCCACCTGCCCAAGAGGACAGCGTCGTCAGCCAGCAGCCTGCAGCGGGACCGTCAGGACATCGTCATCACCGGCTACACTCACTTTAACACCGACCTTCCCCCCCTCCCCGCTATCAACCTCCCGAGGAGTAAGAGCTCCGCAACTACCGCCAGGAGCGAGTCTCACCGCGAGGCGCGGCTCTCTCACGAGGTCGATGGTCCTAGCAGGGGCAGAGGGGCACACAACGAGTCCTCAAGCTCGCGGACATCGGTGACTTCGACCAGTACAATCCCCAACTCAGGGGTGTCCTCAGCATGCCTGGCGACCTCCTCTACAGCGTCCACAGCCGGTTCAATGCTCCGGCAGGATAACCAACCCAGACACACACAAAAACGTTCCAGTTCGACGACTCGGCGCGTCGACAGGTCTTCCGAGACCAGCCACACCTCGTCAGCAGCCTCGGCAAGAACCAGCCAGACTCTGGAGGAGGATGACGTGACCTGCGCCATCTGCCTGGATCTGCTGCACCGGCCTCGCTCTCTGCCCTGCGGCCACACCTTCTGCCTTGTCTGCCTCCAGAACTATGTCAACTCCTGCAGGTCAGTCATTAAATTGATTGCTTCAAGCGGTGCATTTAAATTCATGCGGTTGTCGTACTCACCATCTATATAACAACACACATTCACACACACACACAGGAGTCATAGGTCAGGAGGCATTGCATTAGACAACTAACGGCTAGAAAAACAGGGTCCAAGAGCTAAAGCTCGATCCTGCAGGCACAAATAGGTTAGTACACATACATCTGATCAGCGACAAATAGACAAGATGGATATGACGTCACTTTATAATGTGAGCAAGTTAACCAAGAAAACATTGCATAAAGTTGAAAATGCAAATGAGTTGAAGAAATGTTAGGAAGTTCCCGCGCCCTGTATTGGTGGTCAACAAGGGGAATACACCGAAAGAAGTCGTGGAAGCCGCCACCATTTACAATTTTAAGAATGAGGTAAGGTCATCAGGGCAAAATACTAAGCCAATATTTAGCACTTTAGAGGGACATGAGGACGAATCAAAGTTTCAGTGCCTCCTCTTTCCTCTTCCTTTTCATAACCTTTTCACTCTCATCTTCCCCTTCGTCAACTCATGAGTGAGTACAACAGGAAATCCGCCAGTGTAACCAAGATATGCCAAATAATCTTGTATATTAGTGCTGATAGCACCTTTAACAAATTGAAGGAATTGAAAGAGCCTGAGAAACAGACCTGATGTTATGACCAAATAAAAAAGTTAAGAGGAGATATGACACTGCTGGCTAAGTAGGAGTAAAAACTTATGTAAACTACAATCATAGACAAAAATGTTTACAGACTTTGCTTCAGAATCCGTACCAAAAGGTGGAGTTAAATTGGTGGTCGTGATGTCTTTGACAAATCACAAGTTTTTTCTGTCATTCATCACTTAGGAAGCTCTATGCAAATGAGTGCACTTGCATAATGTAGAAGATCTTGGTTAATAGTAGAGCTCTTTCACACGCATGTAAAGTGTACAGAATTAACAGAAGCTCACCTTGAAACTACGGTCTTCTGAAGTCGAGAAAGAAGCTATTCTTAGCTTTGGAAGTAGATGAGTGATGTAACAGAAGACTGGCGAGGTCCCACAATACTACCAATAGGTAGAATTTCTAAGTCTAGCAGAAGGATTCGCTCAGCACAATGTGGTTGTCTTCTCAGTAGTACCACCCCGGGCTGCGCAGTTCTCCTGCGTATGGGCCGTCCTCCACCAATCAGGGCCCCGTACTGCCGGTAAGATAGAACACTCCCATTGGCTGGTATTTTGAATGTGGCTCCCTCCACACTCCCCCCCCCCCGTCCCTATAAAGCGAGGGTTGTATTAGGAGAGTGACATTTAATTAGAACCGAACCTGTTGCCTTGGAATGCAGCCTCCACAAGCTTTATGCTAAGTGATGAGGTCTCAAAGACAGCAACAAAAGAAAGCACTTCTGGTTCACACTAGGAAAACCTTTTGACAAACATTTCACTTTCCCCTGTGAACTAATCAACCCGTCCTCAGACCAAGTCCATTCTATCCAGCGGTCAACCCCAAAAACGCAATCATCAATTTTAAAATGCTGTTCATTCAAAATAGGAATTTTCTCAAATATAGATTATTATAATATATTAGCATTTTGTGCATATATATAGGCATAGGTTAGGCTAGGTGTTTAGGTTCTGTTGGCGATTATTTGTATTTGTAGTACGTGGGTGAAGCATTTACAGCGTTGTGGTTCGAACAAAATTTGTCATTGAAGCACTTGCTCCAGTAGTTTTCGAACGTCATCAGTTGTGCAACAACTGATGACGTTCGATCTCTGGATGTCCATTACATCCAGCGATCGACCCCATAGACGCATCAGCCCGTCCTCCAAACAAAGACCCAAAAGTGATTCCATCCACCCGCCAAACCCCCTGTTTATGAATGAAAACGATTTACACACGACTCACAACTGGTGATGTCCGAACACTTCCGGAACAAGTGCTTCACTGACGAATTTTGTTCGTACCACAACGCTGTAAATGCTTCACCCACGTACTCCAAATACAAATAATCGTCAACAGAACCTAAACACCTATCCTAACCTATCCCTATATATATGCACAATATGCTAATAACTTATAATATTGATTTATATGAGAAAATTCCCGTTTTGAATGAACAGCATGTAAAAATTTGTGAATGCGTCTGTGGGGTCGACCGCTGGATGGAATGGACTTGAGTCGAGAATGGGGTGAGACATTCATAAATGTTTACATGCTGTTCATTCAAAACGAGACTTTTCTCAAATATAAATTAATATTATGATATATTAGCATATTGTGTATATACAGGCATAGGTTAGGTTAGGTGTTTGGGTTATTTTGGCGATTATTTGTAGTGTCGCGACGCTGAACCCCGGTTCATTCCGAACACAGCGATTACACAACACATAACACCTTGCCTCAGCAACCGTTACTACCACCGTGTACTCCTACACACACCAGACCCTTGAGGCGTACCACTAGGTTTGTACTGGAACACAATGAATGAACATATGGAAGGTATTTAAAGGCCGTCGGGTTTTGTCATTTAATTACAAAGAATAGACTCTGACAAATAATAACATATTAATATACTCTATTAGGTAAATACACTTCCAATACCCATAGACCACTTGACCTCCGCGATCACCACCCACACTCGTAACTTCCGCCTAAGTCAATAATACGGAATAATTACTACAACGCTCCACACCCGGTTAGTCTTTCATTCAATACTCACATACTGCAGACTTAACTTGGTCACTAAGATCACATCAGGCTCTCGCATAGCTGTCTGCTACACTTCGCTGCTGCCACAAACGGAGACCTCGGAGGACTTGCCAGTTCCACTCCCACAACAAGACTGTCTTGTCTTGTGAGGCGTGAGACGTGGGTGAAGCATTTATAGTGTCGTGGTTCGAACAAAATTCGTCAGGGAAACACTTGTTCCGGAAGTGCTCGAACGAAATCAGTTGCAAGTCGTGTGTAAATCGTTTTTCATTCATAAACACCTGGGGGTTAGGCCGGTAGATGGAATGGACCTTGGATCATTGTTTGGAGGCAGCCCGTCCTCCAAACAAAGATCCAAAAGTGATTTCATGCACCCGCCAAACCCCCTGTTTATGAATGAAAAGCGGTTTACACACGACTCACAACTGCTGACGTTCGAACATATCCGGAACAAGTGTTTCACTGACGAATTTTGTTCGAATCACAACGCTATAAATGCTTCACCCACGTACTACAAATACAAATAATCGCCAACAGAACCTAAACACCTAACCTAACCTATGCCTATATATGCACAATATGCTAATATATTATAATATTAATTTATACTTGAGAAAATTCCCGTTTTGAATGAACAGCATATTATAATTTATGAATGCGTCTGTGGGGTCGACCGCTGGATGTAATGGAGTCGAGGACGGGTTGGTTTGTTCCACAATTTACTCTCAGCTCGTCTAAAGTAATTATCAAAAGAAGGCACCAAGTCAGGGAGACTATGTAGCAGCTCGTCTAAAGCAATTTATTATTATTAACATCTTTATTGACAAAATTAATTATAAAATTGCCTAATCTGAGGATTTCAATTGAGTCTTATAAAAGTGAGGATAATGCTAGTATTCACTGTCACACAGGGCAGAGGGTCATACACAAGACAATAAGTCTAAACTGTAGACTGAAGCACATATATATATAATGGTTACAATCAATGTTTTAATGTATGAATATGTGAAAACAACTTTCTGTTGTGCACTGCCACACAAAGGCAGGGATGGGTTCATAAGTGATGCAGCTTAGAAGTAATATAAATAAAAATTGTTCTTCATTCTTTAAAATGGATAAGCAAATTTTTGATAAATTGTTAGGATGTCGTCCAGAACACCTGAGTCAATGAAATAATTACACAGTTGGTGGTACAATAGACCAGGAGGTCTAATGTCTTTTACGGTTTCACATTCAACATTATAGTGTTCTAGTAAATGCATTAAAGGTTTATCACAGAGTTTACAATCTGAATATTCTGGTAGTGGCTCAGCCTCACTAACGTGCCAGATGTGTCTATAGCCTAGGCGAATTTGCGCAATGACTATATCACATTGCCTGGTCCGGTTAAAGCAATGAGGTGAATGAGTTCTGAATCTAGGCCGGAACGGGCGTTGGGTGGAGAATGATTTGCCTCCTTGGTAAAGCTGCATTAATTTGCTGAACCATCGTAGTTGCTTGCCTCTAATGTGGCTATCTGCAGCGAACCAAATCAGGCCGATAGGTCTAAGGATCATGGTGGAAAACTCACTCAGGATTTCTCACAGTGGGATAAATTCGCTGTCATCTACTTCCGCTGGAATGCCAGGGCATACCCAATGCCAACATCCACCCTGGTTTGGTTGCGAATTTTGCTGAGTAGAATTTGGGGTCATCACAAACCATGATGCTCGCAACCTATGCCAAGATGAAAGTTAAAAGGCACTCATGTGTATCGCTAGTTTAGTGCAGGAGTAAGATGGTCCGAGCATCTCCTTACTCCTAATCAAGCACCAGTGGCGCAGTCACATTCACAGAGCTGTAAAATAAATAAATAAATCCATCCTTCTGGTGAAGCTGTGAGGTTTCCAGTGTTTTTGGTCTCCTCTGAGCCATCGCTGGTGTGCCCCACAGTAGCTTCCTTCCTTGAGCCTTTGCTGCCAAATCTCTCTCTCTCTAGTGGTACAACAAGCTGGAATTGTAAGCCAGGACACCATTACTTGCACAATCAAGTACACTAACTTATTTTTAGCCTGCCTCCCTACACTGAGGACATTCATATTTTGGCTTAGAATGTACATTCTTGACTATGGCTTCCACACAGGTTCCATGTAACCACTTCATGCACATATCTCACTGCACGGTGGACACCCCATCATATGGATTCGTACAATTGCAAAAGAGGTCTATGTATGGCCAAGGCAATGTTCCAAAGGTGTTTGTCATGCATTGTTTAAACTTTCCAAATCATTCCGGAAGAATGCAATCTTTACACTTCTTCAGTTGGTCATGGTGAGTTGTGTGTCCTTTATTAGTTTTACTCAAAACAAATATAAAGAGAATTTATGGATAAATATTCCTGCACCTTTCCACTGTGGTGACAGTTTTTTACTTTGGCCCTTAACCTGTGCCATGTCTAACAGATATACCAGTTCTCCCTTCTCATAAACATGCAGGCTTTGCCTCCAAGTTGTCCAGAGCTACAACCGTTGGTTCTATCTGCTGAAGAGGCCCATGCTTGTAATCCTGATGGACCAAGAGCGAGCCGGACCCTGTCTGCCCAGTTGAAGAATTCATATTCACGGTGACTCATCATGGTGTAAATTTCACCACAGCCATGTCCAACACCCTAAAATGTGGTTCCAGGTTTCTCATCATTTGTGTGTAGTCCATGGCCAGGTCTTGGTCCAGTAGGCAGTTGTAAAAATCACTCGCTTTAGTCTTCAAATACCAACCTAACTGCGTCAGGGATGTAGAGCCTGACCAGTCCTTTTTGTTGGAACATAACTTAAAATGCCTACAGGAAGTCCCCAAGTCCGACTTCCCGTTAAAGTCCAGCTCTCATGGTGGAAGTCTAAAGGATGGTTTCAGCTGTGTACGGTTTGACAGTCTCCTGTGACAAGTGAAGTTACCTGAATCTGAGTTATGAGAACTGGCTAAAGATCAGTGACAGAAAGGCCTTTGAGTCCCATGAGATGCAAGCCGCTGAAGAGAGAGAGCCGCAAAAGCCTCTACCAAGCAGAAGCTTGGCAGAGCGATTCCTCTGACCTCTGGTTCCTACTGTCCTTCGGAGCTGCTGCCCTCGGGTAGTTTCCCCAGAAGAAACAGTCATCTCCGTTACTCGACTTTGAATGTGATCGGCGTCTTGAACCTGGAGGCTCGTAAGTGCTCGACCTTTCGTGTTCTGGAGCACCTCGTAGGATACTGCAGCTAGGACAGTAGGTGTGACACGAGGATGTCATAAACACCATCCTCCATACTTGCATGATTGATTCTGAAACTATTAGTATGCTTCTGAAACTATTAGTATGCTTCTGAAACTATTAGTATGATACATACACCTATGTATGATACATACATAGGTGTATGTATCATACACCTATGTTGCTCAGACAACTGCAAGTTATATAATCACACTCATTTTTGGTAAATTTACTTATACAGGCACTTAAAAAAATCTAAACTAAGCACTTAAAAGTAGGTACATGCACTTAAAGCTAGAAGACGGTTCACTGCAGGTATATATATCATGAATTCAGGTCACTCTGATAAGCGGAAGGTCCTAAATCTCACTTATTTTAGGTAAGATCACTGGCATTTTCACTTAAGTATAGGCCAGGCACTTGTAATTGATCATGCACTTCTTAATGCTATAATACGTTTCAATGCAAGTAAAGATCATGAAGCCTTGTCTCCTCTGAGAAGTAGAATTACTAAATAGCCATAATTCAGGTAAAAGTATCTATAAACCACTATCATTGAACCACTAGACTTTCTTAAAACATATGTTTCACTTGCGGTAGACATTAGAAGCAAGACTGTTGTAATAAACCACAATGACACAAGCCGGGAGGGTGTTGTTGTTGCTGCTGGGTTAGTGGCGACGATGATCGAGGGATCGGATGCACCCCGGCGTACTCTTAAAGGGTTAATCGTAAAGCCTAATGGCTAAATGAACATCGCCTTGTGGCGGAAAGAAATGCTTCATAAGGCGAACAAACACACTGATTGGCAGATAATTGGGGAGCCCCAAGAGTCCCTCAGGAAGGCAAGCACCGACCCCGCCCCACACAGAGAACACTGGGGAGCCCCAAGAGTCCCTCAGGGAGGCAAGCACCGACCCCGCCCCACACAGAGAACACTCGGGAGCCCCAAGAGTCCCTCAGGGAGGCAAGCACCGACCCCGCCCCACACAGAGAACACTCGGGAGCCCCAAGAGTCCCTGAGGGAGGCAAGCACCGACCCCGCCCCACACAGAGAACACTGGGTGGCAAAGCAAAAACTCGACCCCCAGTTAAAACGCAAAAGTCATCCAGTGCCCTCCGACAGAGCAGAAGTCGGCCGCCCACCACAGCTGAGGGCACACCAGGAGACCCGCCAACTCCCGGCACCTCTCGGCCAAGCCGGCGCCGGACTCCGTCACCCCGCCGGGAGTACCAGCCAGAACACGTACAAAAAAATCTATCAACAATCCCGTGACCCAAGGCGATATGTGCGCCAGGCGTCGTACAACCGGACCGTCGAATAGGGATGCCAAACGGCAGTATTAAATCCAAATCGCAAAACAAAACGTGATCCGGAGGCTCCCAGGCGGAGGAGGCGTCCAGACGTCCTCTCGGCGTCAAGGTTGAACCAGCAAGCAGGGGGAGGGGGGGGGGGGTCATGCACTGGGAAACACTGGTGTTGCCGAGATGACCACAGTGTATTTGTAAACAATAACACTGCCAATCCGGATTCATTTACTGCTCTCATGAACGAATTGGCTGAATCCATGGTGCCAGCAACCACTCCCTCTCCTCAAAAAAAAAAAAAATGGGAACAGTACGGTTCGCTTGAGAAGTACAAGCAAATGAACAATGGAACAGGAAGAAATAAATCACCGCAAAAATCATCTTGAAGCTGGAGACGTTAATTTAACTGTGGCTGGGCAGCGTGAGCATGGAGGAGGAAACATGGGTCGCTTCAGTGCATGTCTATGGCGTCGTGGTGAGATGCAGCTGCTGTCTACTCTATTCCCTGTTCGTCTTGTCCTCTCCAATACTCTTGTTGAACCTGGCTGTACACTGAATGACACACTTAAGGAACACAATAGAAGTGTTAAGTCTGGAGACACAAACAGTGCTCTCTACTATGTTAAAGACTGTAATCACTCTATTGATTGAACTTCTGCTAAAATCATCTTTCCTGCCCCTACTCTACACAGACGCCGTCTTGCTGACTCTGCTCTGACACCCAACATGAACCTGAGTCCCGGCTTTGTTGCTGTTGACTCTTCCCTTTCACAGTACATACTCAAGTGCTCCAACCTTCTTAACAAACGTGACCTGATTTAAGATTTGCCCCTGTTTCTTATTCCAGCCCCCCTTCTATTATTCTTACCTTTCCTCTTATTCTTACATTCCTCTTATTCTTACGTTCCTCTTATTTTTATGTTCCTTTTATTCTTACGTTCTTCTTTTTCTTACGTTTTTCTTATTCATATGTTCCACTTATTCTTACTTTTCTCTTATTCTTACGTTCCCCTTATTCTTACGTTCTTCTTATTCTTACATTCATCCTATCTTTACCCTATTCTTAGAATCATCATATTCTTACCTTATTCTTCCCTGCTCCTCTCTCTATTGCGTTATATATTTGCCTGTGCCTTCCTCTCTTCCAGGGGCTCACCATAGCCCGTGCTTCTTGCCCCGCTCCTGTGCCAGGTAAGTTACGGGCTCACCAAAGCCCGTGCTACTTGCCCCGCTCCTGTGCCAGGTAAGTTACGGGCTCACCATAGCCCGTGCTACTTGGAACTTGTTCCGAGTAGCTGAATCTATAACAACAATCCTCTCTTCTGTCACACGACATGATAAGGGTCCAGGATGGAGCGAAACCTCGTCGTTTCTCCATCTTCTGATGTGTGGTTTTGTCATATCGTAGAAATTCCCAGGAAATATACCAAGTAACAGAAAACTGTCAAAAAAAGGAGAAAACGGCACCACGAAATGACACGTTGCACGAAATACAATTTTAACCTTGAAAAAAAAATAGCGTGGAAGAGCTGGATGACGTTGTTTACAAGAAGAGCAACTTGTCCTCTAGCAAAGAACGTCGCATTTCGATCGTATGGGTTACATAAGGTCAAAAATTGTCGTACTTCAAAATGGAAGCGGCTCGCGAAAGTGATGTACTGTCCCCGTTTTCTGTTTTTGGTCCTTTTGGTAGGTTAGGTGAGGACACTTTAATTTGACCGTTTTCTTGACGTTGGGAAACCCTGAGGAGGACGGGCTGAGGAGTGGCTGGCAGCCGTAAGTTGACACATCATTGAGAACCTTGGAAACATACACGGAACGGAGAATAATGCACAGGGGCAGTAATTACTGTACGAATTGGTTCTAAACACGCAGGTGAAAGAAACACGGAGCAGCAGGGAACACCCTGGAGAGTGCTCCCTTCCTGGAGCACTTTAGCACCTCGTGTTGCACTGTCTCCTGGCGTTCCTGGAGCACTTCCACCTAAGAGACTTAGTGCTGCCTAATCTTCGTGGTCCCAAGAAGCCCCACGAAGGAATCTTACTCTTCCTTAAAACTGTTCCCAAGAGATACTTGCTTCCCCCCCCCCACACCTTAGGGTGCTCTAGTAAAGCTTACCCTTCCCTAGGGTGTTGTCCTATAAAGCTTACCCTCCCCTAGGGTGTTCTCTTATTAAGCTTATCTTTCTTTCAGGAAGACTATCTCTCCCTGCCTAACTAGCAGGATATTACCTCAACTCCTGTGAGTGAGTGAGTGAGTGTACTCAGTTGGTTCTCCTCCCGCCGCAGGAGTGCGCTGACGTGTCCGTCGTGCCGGGGGGCGGCGCAGGTGCCCACGGACGGGGTGGTGGGTCTCCCCGTCAACAGCACGCTGGCCAGGGGCGCCCAGGAGATACGAGAACGCCGTGAGGGCACCCCGGGAGCCCTGACCTGCGCTGCCTGTCGCTCTTGTCAGGAGGTGAGGACGTGTGGCCACTGCAGAAGGGCGTGGTGCGCGGCGTGCAGCCCCGCCCACCTGCGGGAAGTGCGCGGAGATGTGGCCCAGCTGCGGCGGCGTCTGGCTACTGCGCGGGACACACTATCCTGCACGACGGAGGAGGATGAGGTAAGATGCTACACACGCATGCACGCAAACACGCACACACACGCACACACACGCACGCACACGCACGCGCGCACACACGCGCGCGCGCGCACACACACACACACACACACACACACACACACACACACACACACACACACACACACACACACACACACACACACACACACACACACACACACACTTTTTCTTAAGGTTGCAGGTTTCCCAAATTCCTCTTTGTCAATTTTATCGATTTCTGTTATAATTTTGTATGTAGTGATCATATCAACTCTTGTATCTTCTGGCTTTGGTTTATTTAACGTCTCTAAGTCTCTCCTCGTATTCCTTGTCTTTCAGTTCCGGAAGCCATTTTGTGTCATGTCTTTCCACCTTTTCCAGTTTGTTTATGTGGTTCTTGAGATTTGGGCACTATTCAACTGATGCAATTTCCAATTTTGGTCTCTCAAGAGTCATAAACTTTAATATTTTTTTAGTAAACTTTTTTCCCTAGGCAAAAGCTAGGTTTTTTATTAAATAAATAGCTTTATTTTTCACATAACTTTAGTATTTCACAATCCGTGTAATTAAAATCAAGTCTGAAGTTGGGAAGCGACGCACACGGAACCATCCCGAGGCTTCTTTCGTTGTTAGAGTTCTGTAACACTTTTCCACATAAGTTGTAGGTTGTGTGTGGCTCACTTTCTCATATTCCATACATTCTGCATGGGGCTCACCTTCGCTGTATGTAGGGGCCCGGAGCGCTCCTTTGTCCAAGTTTCTGAAGGACACACGGATGTTGACCAGTATGCCAGATGCAGCTCTTGTTATTCTGCTAATGTGGGCTTCTGGCCTCAGATGTCCACTCCCAGGTGTTTCTCCTTCACTGATTGAAGAATCTGTCTTCCCTTCATCCTATACTGATGTAGTGGTCTTCGCACTCCGGTTCCGGTCTTCATAGCTTTGCACTTGGCTGGGTTAAATTCTAGCACCCATTTATCAGAACACTATTGGAGAGTGTGTCTAAATTAGTTTGCAATGCCTCACGACCAACCCTTACTCTCCCCATTAATTTTGCATCATTGCATACAATTATATGAACGAACCAGTATCCTCTGTCAGGTCGATGACCTATATTTAGCAGTCTCCGTGGTGTAGTGGTAAGACACTCGCCTGGCGTTCCGCGAGCGCTATGTCATGGGTTCGTATCCTGGCCGGGGAGGATTTACTGGGCGCAATTCCTTAACTGTAGCCTCTGTTTAACGCAACAGTAAAATGTGTACTTGGATGAAAAAACGATTCTTCGCGGCGGGGATCGTATTCCAGGGACCTGCCCGAAACGCTACGCGTACTAGTGGCTGTACAAGAATGTAACAACTCTTGTATATATCTCAAAAAAAAAAAAAAAAAATTAGCAACAGTACGGGCTCTAGGACTGACCCTTGTGGCACTCCACTCGTAACCTCTCCCCACTCTGATGTCTCTGCTCTCACCGTAACCCTTCGCTTCCTTCCTGAGAGGTACTCTCTGGCCCGCCTTAAGGACTCAATTCCCGATACACCATCCTGCTTCTCTAGTTTGAGCAGGAGTCTTTGACGAGGGCCTGTGTGTGTGTGTGTGTGTGTGTGTGTGTGTGTGTGTGTGTGTGTGTGTGTGTGTGTGTGTGTGTGTGTGTGTGTGTGTGTGTGTGTGTAACTAGTTATGTAGTGTAGTGTAGTTATGATGGTGTCGACAGATGCGGTTCAGTAAGCTGGAGGAGACGATAGGCGAGGCGGTGGACGAGAGAGTCGCTCAGCTTCACGACGAGGGCAGGAACCTTGCCGCACAGGTGAGTGTATAGCCCCTACTGCTCTACACCTGTTGCCCAACACCTGCTGCCCCTATACCTGCTGGCCTACACCTGCTGCTCTACACCTGCTGCCCCTACACCTGCTGCCTTACACCTGCTGCCCCTACACCCGCTGCCTGCTGGCCTGCACCTGCTGCTCTACACCTGCTGCCCCTACACCTGCTGCCTCTATACCTGCTGGCCTACACCTGCTGGCCTACACCTGCTGCCTTACACCTGCTGCCCTACACCCGCTGCTTCTACACCTGCTGCCCTACGCCTGTTGCCCTACACCTGCTGCCCCTATACCTACTGCCCCTACACCTGCTGCCCCTATACCTACTGCCCCTACACCTGCTGGCCTATACCTGCTGCCTTACACTTGCTGGCCTTCACCTGCTGCCCAACACCTACTGCCCTATATGTATCCTGCCCCTACACCTGTTGCCATACACCCGCTGCTTCTACACCTGCTGCCCTACACCTGCTGCCCTACACCCACTGCTTCTACACCTGCTGCCCTACACCCACTGCTTCTACACCTGCTGCCCTACACCCACTGCTTCTACACCTGCTGCCCTACACTCACTGCTTCTACACCTGCTGCCCTACACCCACTGCTTCTACACCTGCTGCCCTACACCCACTGCTTCTACACCTGCTGCTTTACACCTGCTGCCCTACGCCTGTTGCCCCTACACTTCCTGCGCTATAAATGTTGTCTCTACACCTACTGCCCCTACACCTGGTGCCCTACACCTGCTGCCCTACACCTGGTGCCTTACACCCGCTGCTTCTACACCCACTGCTTCTACACCTGCTGCCCTACACCTGTTGCCCTACACCTGTTGCCCTACACCTGCTGCCCTACGCCTGTTGCCCCAACACATGCTGCCCTTCACCTGTTGCCTCTACACCTGCTGTCATACATCTACTGCCCTATATATGCTGCCCCTACACCTGCTGGCCTTCACCTGTTGCCCTACACCTGTTTCCCTACACCTGCTGGCCTTCACCTGCTGCCCTACACCAACTGCACTACACCTACTGTCCTACACCTGCTGCCCTACACCTGCTGGCCTTCACCTGCTGCCTTACACCAGCTGCACTACACCTGTTTCCCCTATACCTGCTGCCCTACACCTTTGCTCTACACCTGCTGCCCTACACCTGTTGCTCCTATACCTGTTGCCCTACATCTGCTGCCCCTACATCTGCTGCCCTATACCTGTTGCCCCAACACCTGCTGCCCTACACCTGCTGACATACACCTTACTACCCTATATATGCTGCTCCTACACCTGCTGCCCTACACCTGCTGACATACACCTACTACCCTATATATGCTGCTCCTACACCTGCTGCCCTACACCTGTTGCCCTTCACCTGCTGCCCTACACCTACTGCCCGACACCTGCTGCCCTCACCTGGAAACTGAGAACCCAAATGGAAGACTGATTAAAAAGATAGAGGCTCATGGTATTGGGGGTGCTATATTAAGATGGATTAGGGCATGGCTATACCAAAGGAAACAAAGAGTTAGTATAAATGGGGTTAAGTCAGAGTGGGAAAATGTTGTAAGTGGAGTTCCTCAAGGCTCTGTCCTGGGACCTCTGTTATTCATGATTATATATATATATATATATATATATATATATATATATATATATATATATATATATATATATATATATATATATGTCGTACCTGGTAGCCAGAACGCACTTCTCAGCCTACTATGCAAGGTCCGATTTGCCTAATAAGCAAAGTTTTCCTGAATTAATATATTTTCTCTAATTTTTTTCTTATGAAATGATAAAGCTACCCATTTCATTATGTATGAGGTCAATATTTTTTTATTGGAGTTAAAATTAACGTAGTTATATGACCGAACCTAACCAACCCTACCTAACCTAACCTAACCTATCTTTATAGGTTAGGTTAGGTGGCCGAGAAAGTTAGGTTAGGTTAGGTAGGTTAGGTAGTCGAAAAACAATTAATTCATGAAAACTTGGCTTATTAGGCAAATCGGGCCTTGCATAATAAGCTGAGAAGTGCGTTCTGGCTACTAGGTACGTACATATATATATATATATATATATATATATATATATATATATATATATATATACATATATATATATATATATATATATATATATATATATATATATATATATATATATATATATATATAAATATATATATATATATATATATATATATATATATATATATATATATATATAAATGATTTAGATTCAGGTTTGAGTAGCAACATTCGCAAATTTGCCGATGATACAAAAATCTGGAGGGTAATAAACACGGAAGAACACTCGCTGTTACTTCAAGACGATCTAAATAAGGTTTTGAAAGGGTCAAAAGATTGGCAGATGCAGTTTAATGCTGATAAATGTAAGGTTTTGAGGCTAGGCAATGATGATAAAGTTACAAGATACGAGCTAGATGGTGTTGAGATTGCGAAGTCGGATTGCGAAAGAGATCTGGGAAGTATCAACAGAAGACAGAACACGAAACAATTGATATAAATTAGATAATATTAGATTTAGGAAAGACCTGGATAAATATTGGTTCGGTAACAGGGTTGTTGATAAATGAAACCAGTTACTGCGTAACGTGGTGGAGGTGGGGTCTCTTGATTGTTTCAAGCGCGGGTTGGACATGTATAAGAGTGGGATTGGGTGGTTATAAATAGGAGCTGCGTCATATGGGTCAATATGCCTTCTGCAGTTACCATTATGCATATGTTCTTATGTTCTTAACAGGTGGAATGCATTAGGCAGTGATGTGGTGGAGGCTGACTCCATACACAGTTTTAAATGTAGATGTGATAAAGCCCAGTAGGCTCCGGAATGTGTACACCAGTTGATTGACGGTTGAGAGGCGGGACCAAAGAGCTGGAGCTCAACCCCCACATCTCACCTAGATGAGTACAACTAGGTGAGAACCTGCGGCCTTACACCTGTTGCCCTACACATGCTGCCCTACACCTGTTGCCCTACACCTGTTGCCCCTACACCTGCAGCCCTACACATGCTGTCCTACATCTGCTGCCCTACATCTGCAGCCCTACACATGCTGCCGTACACCTGTTGCCCGTACACCTACTGCCATACACCTGTTGCCCTACACCTGTTGCCCTACACCTGTTGCCCCTACACCTGCAACACCCCCTCCTCGTATTACAGGTGCAAGAGCTGAGGGCGGAGAGTCAACGCCGCACCCACAGACTCTCACAAGACATAGAGAAGGTCCTGGCCTCCACCAGCAGCCTGGGAGATGACCAAGCCCAAGTGAGTCTGCCTTTGTCGTGACCTTTGTTGACCTTTAGTGTGAGGCCCTTGGGGGGGAGGGGGGGAAGGGGGAGGGAGGGGAGTCTGCTTTTGTTGTGACCTGTGTTGACCTTCAGTGTGAGGCCCTTGGGGAGGGAGGGGGAAAGAGAAGAGTCTGTTTTTAAGAAATATAAGAAAAACTTGTTAGAACCTTTTTGTTAAGTTAAAGGTCACGCACATGGGATTGATAATTCTATAGTTTTGTGTGTTAAATAGCGATTTGTTGCAGTTCTTCAGCTTTTTTTTTACCTAGATGCCGTTCTTTTAATGTTTACCATACAATAGTTCTTTAGTAAGATAACATTTCACAGCAACGGTGAGATAGAGTAGTCTTATAGCTAACTTTAGCGGGTTCGGTAGTGTCATATTCATGTTTAGATACAGTAGTTTCACAGCAAAAGACTACAAACAGTAGTTTCATAGCAAAAGATACAGTCTTAATGTTTACTGTGGCGTCCTAATGTTTACTGTGGCGTCGTAATGTTTACTGTGGCGTCCTAATGTTTACTGTGGCGTCGTAATGTTTACTGTGGCGTCGTAATGTTTACTGTGGCGTCCTAATGTTTACTGTGGCGTCGTAATGTTTACTGTGGCGTCGTAATATTTACTGAGACGTCGTAATGTTTACTGTGGCGTCGTAATGTTTACTGTGGCGTCGTAATGTTTACTGTGGCGTCGTAATGTTTACTGTGGCGTCGTAATGTTTACTGAGACGTCGTAATGTTTACTGTGGCATCGTAATGTTTACTGTGGCGTCCTAATGTTTACTGTGGCGTCGTAATGTTTACTGTGGCGTCGTAATGTTTACTGTGGCGTTCTAATGTTTACTGTGGCGTCGTAATGTTTACTGTGGCGTCCTAATGTTTACTGTGGCGTCCTAATGTTTACTGTGGCGTCCTAATGTTTACTGTGGCGTCCTAAT